TTCTAGTTCTTCTGAAGACTATTTACATATATTCAAGGCCCAAATCAACCCCCAAAATGGCAAACCATGGTCTTTAATGACATATAACATTATATATCCGATTTCCACTCTGAGCTCATTGTGGACATAGAGAAAATATTTGTGAAAAGCCCATTTTGAATACTGAAAGGTAAGCTCACAGCAGTGCTGTTCAGCACCTCAAGTATCAGAGTTATATCATACTTTGCCAATTGTTCTTTACAAATTGATATTCAGTTCATGATATATTATATATTTCTGTCGCCACAGTGTGATCAGAATTGAGGTTTTTCAGTCATTAAACAAATACCAATAATCGAAATGAAATTTTCAATTGCAACCATTAGTTCGAGAATGTCTTTACAGGTCTACAGAAATATAATGGTGGATGACTTGGTGAAAGAAACACACTTCAGAAGCAAACCTATATTTTGACTGTAAATTCTCTTTTTTCTTTTATGTGTTTGTGAAGGTTTCATGTAAGTGCTATGATTGTGTAGGTTATCATATGGTTTGTATAATTAGTTAATTGTATGTTGTAGGTTATCTGTTATTATTTGTGCAGGTTATCTGTTCTTTTTTGTATTAAGCTTAAGGTATCTGATTTGTGTGATTTATACTGATATAATGTTATCTGTAATTATTGATGTTGGATACAATATCTGATTATGGATGTTGGAGGTTATCTTTTGTTATAATGTAAGTTATCTGTCGTAATTGGTGTAGTTTATACTTTATGATTTGAGTAGGTTTTCTGTAAGGGTATGGAATATTGGAAGTGACATTTTTTTTTTTGATAGGAGTGGGTTATCGCTTATGATTGGTTAAGCGTAGGTTACATTGGTGAAGGTTATCTGTTATTGTTTGTGTAGGTTATCTTAACATTATGGTTTTCATAAGTTTCTGTAAATTACATTATATCACTAAAAATAATCTTAATATGATTGTTGTTAAGGTTTTCATTTTTGGAGATTAGAGGATATTTTTGAATTGGTGTAGGTTATCTGTTCAGTTTTGTGTAGGTTATCTGTTAAGTTTTGTGTAGGTTATCTGTTAAGTTTTGTGTATGTTAGCTGTTATGATTTGTGTAAGTTTACTACATAACCAGACTGAGAGTTATTGTCAAGTTAATACTGCTATACTAATTGAAGTATTAAGTGGCCACTATGAGTCCTTTCCCATTCAAGCCAAATATGTAGATTTGTTTTGAAATAGTTAGCTATGCCGGTGTGGCCTGTTATTTGAAACTATGAAGTGTTATTTGTACATTGAAGGGTTAGTTTGTGTGACCTTTATTTTTTTGGTCAATGATGTTATTGTTACACATACTGAGTAGTTGAAATAAGTGAAATGTCTAATGTAATGAAGGGTATTGTTGTCAAATTAGTCAGTTATACTAAGTTTACATTGTATTATCAGTATCTCATTCAACCAAGTAAATTTGATCTAGAATATTACAATTTTGTTTTGGGAAAAGCAATTTAACCATAGCCAAATAACAGCTAGCTTTACTATGCCCAGTTGAAACAAAACAAACCTGCTCTAACATGCATTGTCTGCACATTCGACAATTGCATGGTCAGAGAAAATAGTTTTGAATATGCTGAATATTAATATTTTGAGTTTGGCTGCTCGAATTAAGACAGAAAATGCTTGCTTTAAGTTTAAAACTTGCCTTACTGAGAAATTTTCGTAAGCTTATATACAGTAGAAAATTGAAGACATGCCTGCAGGATGTATTGGTATCTATTATTTACTGTAAGGATAATCCAGTACACTACATCAGATGAGACACTTACAATTTACATCTTAATACAGTAGAGACATATTAACTAACTTTCCCCATAATATTTGACCACAATTCATCAGTTAATGCAGAATGAAGCAGTGAAGGACATTTTATTCTGAATTTTATATGAATTCTTTTCTGATTCATATATGAAGACAATTTGAAAGGTGGAAGAATTCTCTCCTGATGACTTAAACCCTTTGTGGAAAGTCTTGATCTTCAAATATGAGGAAAATAAGATTGAATCATATAAGATTACATAGTGTTTGAAATTGATTATCTGGTCATTGACATTGTGTATTATCCCATATTAGATTGCTATCAGCATTAACAAACAAACCTTAAAACTCATCCCAGTCTACATATTTACAATAGATCGTTGTGTAAGGGAGTGTATTGTTCTTAAATAACTTGCTTTATATCTAATGAGCACTATACACTATCCTAGTCTAAATTATCTGGTCATTGTGGATTATAGAATATTATAATTAAGGATCAGCCTTCAAGGTCAACTTATTTTAGCTTCTTATGAAACGGAACTCATTTGGTTAAGATAACTTGCTCTACCCCAAAAATGCATTGGAATACTTCAGTCTGTAATGAGTTAGAATTTTATCTGTGATGCCATTTGGTGCCATGAGTTTGAATCCTTCTCAAGATAAAGAAAATTCTGATGCCACAACCAGTACTTCCAAGAGTATGCCCTCTGCTGGCTTTCACCCTCTAAGGAAATATGATCGGTAGGGTTTTAAATTAGTTCTAATTACTAACAAAACTTACTTCAGTTTAAAGTTCATTCAAAAAGCTTACTTAAGGTTATGTGTTATTATACCTCTATCTTATAGGAAATGATTTACAGTGACCTACTACTATAGTTATTGATGTTAGTGAATCTAGCACTTCATAATAAAGAAATCTTTAGGATACTGTTATTATTCAACTATAATATCCTAATACTATCTCCTAATATTATATCCTTCCTTATAGGTATTTGAGAATTATGTGAGAATTGTTAATATATTGTGACTTTTGTGATGGTTGGTCTAATTTGTCCTTAGGACTGTTACTTTGATAAGCTTATTCATTTAACAGGGGATTTAGGATAGGTCAGTGCTAAGTTAATGTTCTATGAGTTTTTGATGATTGATCCTTGGTCCTTGGTCAATGGTTGGGCAAATACCCATTCCTTCAGAGTTTATAAATAAAGGGTAGTAATTGTAAAATTTCTTTTACAAGTTAAAAAATGACTTGAATGGGTTTGAAATCCAGCTTTCTCAAGTAGACCCAGGTCAGGGGTGTCCTTTTTGACAGAAAGACTAGGCATATCAAACCATCCTTGAAAGAAAGATGAAAAATATCTTTCCTTTATGTGAAGAATGATAAAAAATAGGTCATAATATAAAAATATAAAAGACTATAGTTATGACCTAGTCCTCAAATGTTTGTTGACTAAACTTAGTCATTATCAGTTATATTTGTAACCTTATATTTACTTGTACATTTTTAATCTTTTGCTAAAGGTCAGTTGAAAAATTCCGTCAGATAAAAATGATTTGAAAACAATCAAATGGTTGATGTAATCTTATCTGTGACTGCAATAAAAACTTAGTTGGAAATATGGAGTAAAAATATATGTCAATATTTAGTAAAGGGGAAAGGTGATAATGTTAGGGAAATTGTTCAGAAAAATGGAAAATATTACTATTATGGATGTATTCATACTTGCATCTTGATTTATCAACAGTTTGTGAGTCAGATAATATTTATCCCTTGATACTACAGTCTTAATATTTTTGTCATCTAGGCTAATAAATCTTATATGTGCTACCCCTGATTATACAATTTGGATATTAACTAGATTTGTCTAATGAATAATTAGAAAGCATATATAAATTTTTTGATCTATACAGGATTCATCCAATCTGATCAAAATTAGATTAAAATTTTGTTTTTTTCATTTTTTTTGTTAGACTCCAGTCGAAAAAGGAAAGGTCAACCCCTTGTTATTTAATCTAATGCAATATTAAGATTGAAATATGGCTGCCTAGGAAGTGAAGTATGTTTGCCAATTATTTTTGAAAGCTAATAATAGACATCACAATTGTTGAAAAGTAACAGTAAGATCAGTTTTAATACTTTTAAGCAAACTTGGTTTGAGAACATTGCTAAATGATTTGATGGCTTCCAAATGTCCTTTCCCACTTCAAGACATTGATATTTTTGTGGACTACGGGTTGTAAGTCCACAAAACATTTCTCATGCACAGCTTAGGTTTTACTGAAAACCATAAAGTCCCTCGCATAAAGATAATGTAAAATTTGCAGATAAATGTAATGCCAGAAACATTAATATCCCTTAAGGAATAGATTGATATATTTTTCTCTTTGATACAAACTAGTGCACTTTAAACAGACCTTTAATATTATATTATGTTACAAACATTTCACAATGAGGAAATGAAAATATAACTGCACAATGAAAAATATTTCTTTAATATCTTTATTCATTTGAAATCGTGCCTATATGTTCTTAAATATGAAGTATTATAACATATGAATTGAGAGTAATACTGTACAACAGTACTACTGTAACGGTAGTTTTATTATGAGTTATTCTATAAACTATTTCAAGTGTCAAATTACTTATAGAAATGGAGTGAATATTATTTAAGTAGTTTAAGGCAATGCCCAAAACTTGAATATGTTTATAGATATGTTGAGTTTTGTTTTTTATAAAGGAATCCAGATATTCTGTTAATGATTTGTAATTTAAAAGGATTGTAAAGAGGAACTGTTAGTAACTGTTAATGATACACATTAAAAGTTTGAAAAACCTCTTTACAACATGCTCGGATGAAAATTTTTGATGTATCACTATAGATTGACCCATTGCAAAAGGGAATTTAATATTGAAGCAATGTTTAAGGTTCTCTGACAGTTGTGAATTGAAATAGAGTAAACTACTAGTAATGCCGCTGTCTTGGCAAAATTTCTCTCAATGTACACTGCATGGTTTGACTCCTCATAATCATTTCTTGATTACGGATATCTTTTATATTTAAACAAGATGTTAATGTAACCTTTACTTGTCTATTACAGGTGGGGATACTATTAGTAATACATGAAGCTTCCAACTCAAGTGAACTTTGTCTGTGTCCTGGACACTAGCTAGATCCAAGGGACACAACTGCGTCATGCCTATTCTACCAAAACCTGGCAATCTCAAAGATCCAGATATAGCCGGCTTGTTTAGCCATGAAGATCCAGACAAGATATTTTCAGACCTCCGAGAAATTGGTCATGGAAGTTTTGGCGCTGTCTACTTCGTAAGTTTGAACATTTGGTTTTATAGTCAAAGTGGATCAATGAAAATGACGTTCACTAAGGTTCTGGTTTTGATTACAGCATAGATTAAGATACCTTTCTAGATCAGCAATGACAGTTGGGGGAACTGACAATGAAAAAGCATCTAGTTGTTATGATTTGGACAAACTATTGGTTATTTTTTTCCATATTGCACACAGCTTTGCCTTATTTTCATTAGTCCAATCTAGAGCAAACACGTTTTATTTTGGCATACATGTATATAAGCAATCGGTATAATAAGATAAAAGATATCAACTCTATATGTTTGGTTTTCCAGGCCAGAAATGTCATCACTAAAGAAGTTGTTGCTATTAAGAAAATGTCCTATAATGGAAAAGGTGCTATGGACGTGAGTATAAACTATTAAATTGTTGAACCCTTTCAACCCTATAGTAGAGCGGCTGCTCTATTGGTCACAGAACATGTGATATATAATCGAGCTGCAGCTGAAGCAGCTGTTACTAAATGAGGTCACATAGATTTAATTTTGTAAGCTTGAGTTTATAATATTTGGAATTTAATTTTATTCACACTTAATGTTCAAAGGGTTAACACAAAGTTACACAGAGCTAATGTCAAGCTATTATGAACTTCTACTTCAATAGCCAGCTTACTTGTATCTAGAAATTTTAAATCTGCAGCAACTGGGTTGGATTGTACGCAAATACAGCTGATCCGACTCCTAGTTAAAAGGTCCATAAACAATAGGTCGTTTACAGTCTGCCTGTTGAAAGCTGTGATTGGCTGTATTCGCTAGCGTAGAATGTAATTAAATAGCATGATACAAGANATGTGGCTATTACAGTCAAGGTATAATTACTAAGTTAGTAATAGCATGACATTGTAAAGATGTAAGTTTTATTGTATTTAAGAATTTGAAATATTTACTGTGTCATTTAAAGTTATTGTAAAGAAATATTTGTCATTTGTTATGTC